GAGGGCCATGTTGCGACGATGCGAAGTAATAAGTAGGACTTCCTGGCTATTTGACTCAAAACGCATTCACGTTGAACTTATATGCATTGGTGCGAATGTCGCGCACGCGAAACTTCTTACAACGCCGCAGTGTGTGTCTCGGACTCGTCACCATGGATAAAGCCACATTCTGCAGTAAGGGGATGAAGTGACAAAAGCACCTTCTTCTTGATGCTTCCCTCCTTCTGATACGGCAGGGGAAGGGGCGCACCAACTGGATGTTTTTGGATGTTTCTACCATTTCTACCCAACAAGTTGGCGAGCCTTCGGTCTTTAGATCCGTCAGAGGGTTTGATCCACTTGTAAAGGGAATGATCCTTGCTATTCAGTGATGAGAGCTGCGTTCAGCAGATATCAACTTGTTCCAAAGTTGTAATACTGCTGTAATCACTAATGAGTGTAAATGAAAGTCCAACAATAAACTGTCAAATTATTGATTGGTATACTTTCAGGTGGACCTCCACGCTATCCGGATCCAGGCAATTTACCAGTTCCTCCCGCTGCTCCAGTTATGGGAAATCAGATAGAAGTATTCAGTGCAGGTAGTCCTCCTGAAGCCAGTGAGAGTACCTATGAAGAAACTCCTACGACACGTCCCACATATACATACCAAAAGAACAATTTGGAAGACCCCAAAATCAGTTATCCCTCATCGCCTGCAGGACCTCCATCCAGTAAGGGACCGTCGAACGGAGACCTTGGCATGAACAATTCGGGAACTTCTACAACAAGTAATAGCTCTCCGCCGAAAGCACCTACCTATAATGAAGGCTCTCGGGATAATCCTAGTATGCCAGTGATACGTTCAGAAGGACCTGGCTATGATCAGGATCCTTCGTACTGGTCTAATGCGCCAGTGCCACCTCCATCATCACCAGGACAGAGTCCTCCGCCAGTGCCACCTCCATCATCACCAGGACAAAGTCCTCCGCCAGTGCCACCTCCATCATCACCACCAGGACAAAGTCCTCCGCCAGTGCCACCTCCATCATCACCAGGACAAAGTCCTCCGCCAGTGCCGCCTCCATCATCGTCAGGACAAAATTCTCCGCCAGTGCCACCTCCATCATCACTAGGACGAAATTCCGATTACGGACACAATGTTCCAGCTCGGGTGCCACACAGGCCTTCGACAGAACCTGGACTCGATACCGGAAACGGAGTAAGTATTAATGTAATCATTTCATATTCAGTTATCGTAACACTTTTCGCATAAGATAAAA